ACATATATATATAATCCAATAATAATAGATATAAATCTTATCCAATAAGATTGTTCGTCAAATGTCATATCATGACAGTACTATCACGTGATTTTGACAATTCACAAATATAAAGTCTTGAATAGTCTCTTGACAGAAATATACGAAATACTTTACAAGTTGTATGTGAAAAATTCGTACTGATCATCAAATAAAAAAATGCAATTTAGCAAATAATAAATGCAGTAAGTCAAGTTAGTCCATTATGATCAATTTGTTATAAATTCTAAACTATATTTACAGGTGAAGCACAAAAAATTGGTTTTGATGACAAGCAAGATGATTTATTTTAAAACTACAAGATTTGACAAGATATTATAGAAATTATTTTTGGATATCATCAAAGCAAAAGTGGTTTTATTAAAGAATTTGAAGAGTTCACTGCATCCAAACTTCATTAAAGAATTATTGTATATAATCACTGTATTAGACACATTTCTTAATACATTATCACAAGAGTCTGAAAGTAAAAACTTTTGTATAAAAGTTTATGATGCAGTTCATTTGGAATGCAGTGAAATTCTAAGAATATTTGGAAGTTTTTATGACAAAGAGTGATTCAGTAATATTGCAGTAACTTTAACTGAAAATCAAAATTATTATAAATTAGATGAAGATACTTGATATAAAAGGTAAATACAACTTTTGAAGAATAGTAAAATATAATTTCAAATTTAACAATTTTTGAATAAATTAATCTTTGCATTTTCTTTCAAAAGATATTGCTCTTTCTACAATTTTTTTGAGGATTAGCAAAGGACCCATACAATCTTGCTATAATTCATTGGTATAATATTGTATCAAATAAGCCAGAAAAATATGGTTGCTCTCATCTATACTATATTAAAGAGTATAATATAATTCTAATAAAATTTATAGATCAAGAGGTATATATTGTGCTGAGATTTAACAAAAAAATTATTTTTTGTTAAATAAATATATGTTTTGAAAAACTAATAAGCAAAGAATTTTTAAGTCAAATTTACATTTGTAGTAAATTTCAAAGAAAAAAATAAATGATAATGCATATAATCGATCTATTTAATTTATGTTCAAAAAATTGTAATAATGTAATAATGTAATAATTTTCATATACTCTTGTAATTTCTTGTATCATATCTATCATTTTTCATGTTATATTTATCAATTTTTGCATAACATGTTAGAAATTAATACAGATCTACATTTAATACTTCTTAATGTTTTGCTAAATAGATTAGATGTAAAATATAGATTATATTATTAATTTGAATACATATTGTTTTTAATTACTTTTATTTTTATTTTTTTTCTTTTATTATTTTTAATTCGTATTAATTATCTTTTATTATTATTTATATTTCATATATATTTCATTAAGTACAGCATAACTTGGAGATGCATTATCTTTAAAATTAATAATTTAGAACCAATTATCTTCTATTTTATTATTAATTTATTTGTAATTCATTTAATATCAATTATGTATTTAAATATCTCTGTTCTGTACTATAGCTCTTTGGATATTTTCACTATTTAATAAATAAAGAAATAAGCTTTATTAAAATTAAAAACTGAAAACTATCTCAATTAATATAATTTATTTATAATAATTAATAAATTTATCTTATTACTTTTCACGTAAGAAAGTATTCTTACAAATAATCTGTAAATATGCTAATCATTACAATTTTTTTGGATTACACCACTTTAAAATTTCTATTTTAGAGTTTTATACAGATTTTAAATTAGTATAACCAAAAAATTAGCAATGATTAGTATATTTACTAACCACTACTGATCTGATATCTATCAAATTTACTGATAAATACTATTATTTGACTTATTTAGCCAAGATAAATCAAATGATAATATTTGTATTTGAATTTAATTACTAGATGTCAATATATTATATCTTAAAAAGACCATTTCATTTTTAACAATCAATTTTGAATGAAAAATAATCATTAAAAAATGAAATAGTTCCTTAGGATATAATATCTCAATATTCAGTGATCAAATTCAAACACAAATACTATCATTTGATTCATCTTAACTAAATGATAGTATTTTCAAATCTAATCACTAGACATCAAGATCTTATATCCTAAAGTGTCCATTTCATTATATTTAGAGCATGAAAAGTTTATAAACATAAAACATCTCTGATGTAGAAATTATACCAAATTTAAAAGATATAAATGAACAGCATTTGTGTTATTTTTTGTTTTCAGAAATTTTTAGGATGATATACATGATCTATAAAAAGTTAGGGGCGTTTGGATACTTATGAACACTATTGTATAAGAGGATTTTTTATATAATTATTATTATAAATTTATAATATTTTTTGTAAGATAACAAAGTATATGATTTAAGCTGTCCGGTACTATAGTATTTCATCAACTTGTAGCAGATTTCATCAATTATCAGCTCATTTTTCATTGGTTTTTTATTAAGAAAACATAATATCTCTTAAATAGAAAAGTATCTCTTACAATATTTTAATGGCTATAAAAGAAACAACACAAAAAATATATAAAAGAATGCCTATAGACTACTAATAAAAACAGAATTAAATTGTACAATTCTCCAAGAAAAAATCAAACTTGAATCCTTGCGTACAATTATTCTCTATAAGTGAAGTATTGCTTGTAAAACTCTCCTTTGTTATATTGTTTGTCGGTTAGGCGTTGATTTTCGTAAAATCGTGTTATTGTGCTATTTGTAAGAAACCGTTTTTGTGTAATCGTTATTATATTTTTAAGAGTTTAAGGCTTTTATCTAGAAAAAGCAACGATTGATATTAAAGTTTATTAAGGCTTTTAGTTAGGAAAAGCAACGATCAAAACCCCCAACACTATCTCTCCTGAAATCAACTCAATCGACAGTATCCGTAGATATCGGCACCGACTTTATAAATCGAAACAAACGTTGCTCAGTCTATCAACCTCTCCCAAAAAGACCTGTTGCGGTAAAACTTCCCCTTTTCACTCAATAATAAACGAAGTCGCAACAGTATGTAGGGATATGGATCAGACGCCTATATGATGCTTTCAAACTAGCCTAATTGAAAGATTATCTCACCAAGACAGCTGATTAGTTAACACGCGGTTTCCACAAAAATTGTGCAACTTTAATAAATCACGCGAGATCGGCTAATGTCACTTTATTTTTTTGAAGCAAGATACATGTAATTGATAATTAGATTGGTCAACTCATTCAAACATTCCCTCGGGCACCTTTAATACGCATTTACTAATTTCCCCCAAAGTTCTGATTGGATACAAGTAATTTCCATCGCTGATTGGTTGACTGCACACCGGGTCTTCTAAATCAACCAATAAAGATGCATAAATTTTTGATCAACCCGGCAAAACAAATCCGACACAAGAAAATTAAAAAGGGGAATAATGTGAAAAATACAGAAAACGAATGGGTAAACCTGGCTCGAAGCACTAATAATAAATGTCGGGAAGACAATTTTACATATAATATTCCCTCCAGTCCTAACCCTAACCCTTAATCCTAACGCTCAAACTAACCTTTAATATCTTCAACCAATCAGAACTTGGGGGATTAGTAAATTCCTTTAATACATGGCGAACTGTCGTTTCTTTTGATCGAAGTACAGATCGATTGATTTCTCCCATTAAATCCTCCTGCTTTAAAAAGCGTTGGCTCCAAGCACTATACATACCATCCCAAGTTTTCGCAAACGGCGGGAGCATAATGATAGTGTCTTTATTGGTGTTTAGGAACTGCGAGTAAGATGTACTTTGCAGAGGAGTATTAGCATTCTTGATTCCAAATCATTTAAATCCTATATATTGAGTAATTAGTATATCATGTAAAAACGTTAAACAATGATGGATTGCATTATTTTATCATTCTTATACTCTGATATTATTGCCATTTCTTCTTCATACTCTAATAATTAGCCACGCAAGTACGAAGAATTGTCGGGCGAATATGGAAAAATAAAAATATAAACGTACAGTAAATCACCCAACACACATACATGGTAGATAGCCATCATCCTAAGGATAGACTTATATTGATTCCGACCGTGGAAACTGAAAGGTATTGAAGTAGTGGCGAGCTCGGATGAAAGGAAACGACCATCAGGAAGCATATTGAGAGCATAGAGGGTCATTCGGGTACCTGGACATGAATATCAGGAAGCACAATTACACAAATCATGCATATTACTTACTGATCACCTGAGTACAGAATACTTTAATGTTATATCGCAATCAAGATGATTTCGCAACACTGCAACCAATTTAATACATCCATCCGAAGGGTTTTCTTCGTATCACCCAAAGTGTGAATATCTGTTGCATTATCTGGACCACCAGGTTACCTCCATGTGCCAAATGTCTAGGCCATCGGAATATCTTGTTGCTTTAGAATCTAGCTTAACAATCCCTGAATTGGTTGCCGATTTCATTATTTTTGCAGAACGAGCATGTGATTCGATCCAGTCGAAATCAAGGGTCAAAAATGTCTTCTCATATTGACGAAATTTGATGTTATATATTACGCTCGCCTATTTTTCGATCCATCGTAGGATTGATGTCTACGAGAGAAGCAGTTGTCAGTATTTCTTTTGATCAATCAATAGACATCAACATCTACCTACAAATCGAGGATAACTTTCTCACAGTACAGCCGGAAAAGGTCATCCGGAACTTCAATAGGACTGCAGTTTTAAATTTTTTCCGGTTTCCTTAAGGGCAGTGTCGATATAATTCTCCAGAGCAGGTGTCCACACAGCAGGATTGATATCACGTACAGAGGACAGCTCAATGACGAGCTCCTCGCCGATTTCTAGTGCCAACTCTGTGATAGTTTTCCCAAACGCACATATTACGGAGATATCTTGTGAGTATTTGGAGGAATGTGCGAGGCAAGACACTATTAAAATGCTTTTCATTTGTTAAGTGGCAATGGCAAGTAGGAAATAGGAGACTTACTGCTGAACTTCTTCATTTTCCAGCGGTCGCTTATTAGGTGTCGTCGTCAATGAATCTAAATCCCGAGGCACCTGTGGAGGAGTTCTGGGAGCGGTACTACTCACTCCCCTTCTCTTGAGCTCATATTCTGGATCAGAATCTGTATTCGTTTCTGTATAATGTACTGACTTTTTTCCCTAAGCACCATCCCAAATGAAGAGTTTCGTTCCAAAGAAGGCCATAATAAGTTTAATGTAAATTAACCTTGAAGTCAGTAAATGTGTTATTAACCGGATTCACCTTTTCTTCGATTTTGAGGCACTTTGCTTGTGTTTAATATGCGAGATATTCGTTGCATACTGCCATTATCCCATTATTCTGATAGTCCCCGTAAAAGTTAATTGCAGTTCCACCGCGAGATGTATGATTCTTCTCCCAATTTCGAGCAATAATATAATATGGTTTAGAACCCTAGTAACATTTGGTGAGTTAGTAATATTCTTGACTCCTTTACAATCTCACAAGGTCGACCCAAAGTCTTAAACGTCATCCAATCCCAAAGATTTTCTGCGCCTCAACATTAGCTTCGTGGCTCGTCTCAAAGACTTGAATGACACACAACCCAAAGTCCTCCGCCACGCTATCGAATTCCTTATCTATGTTATTTAAAAATAAACTCGCCTTTTTATAATAATCAAGCAACACCTTTGCTCGTTCACTCCTTATACCTCCCCAAGTATCAGCGATGGTCTCGAGGGACGTAAGGTAAGCTTCTATCTTATTCTTGAATTTTTTTATGTTACATTCTTCCAAAAAGTCCGAAATATTCCAGTCAAGACTTGTTGCACTTGAAAAATTCGTGTTCGAACATGGTTGATCGCTATGAGTGAGTTTCGAAAAATTTTTTACTGTACGTTTTTATTGTGGATACCCTAGCCATGGCACAAAAAAATGTCCTGGTCATGTGATTTTAAGGGGGTAAACCAATCAAATCGCAAGATATGAAAATATTAATAACGTTTCGGTTAGGGTTAGGGTTAGAGTTAGAGTTAAGATTATACTAAATATATAGTAAAATTTCGCAAGGAACATTTTTTGTTAAAACACAGTAGTTTCATAAGATACAAGCTATTTTCATTTGTTTTTATTTGTTTATTTGTTTTGAATTTTTTCGTTACACATTGATCTTGCGATTTGATTGGTTTACCCCTTAAAATCACATGACCAGGACATGGCTAGGGTACTCGTTTATTGTAACGTGACATAGCAATTTCATCCAATCAGAGATCGTGTAGCTGATTTTATAATTTTTTAAAATCTTATTGGTCGATAAAATTATATTAAATTACTAGACCCTCGGCATTGAATAATAGTGAGCTTTTCTAATACATGTAATAGACCAGGAACGGGGGAAAGTGCGTTGTGTTGCTTAATTATACTAATTTACATGTAGAGTACCCCCAAAAAGTATCGCCCAATTTTTTTAAAAAATGAAATTTTCGATTTATTCCCTTTCTACTTTATATACATAAAAATTTTTTTACCATTAACTAATACATTACCTACCCTCTATATGGCTTCAATATCACCTCGATTTCTTACGGCATCGAGCTCACATCCTATCCCAAACTAACACATTACATTTTGACTACACTTTCTTCAGAACATGTTCACAATTTTTGAAAAGCTTTTACACTTTA